TCCTCCTACATGAATGTAAACTCACTGCCCTCTAAGGTTCTTATCTAACCTTTCTCCAGTTGCTGTTGTCAAATTGGTCCCATACAGATGGTTCTTAAAAGAGCACAACGCTCTAGGCAGACTTCTTTTTGTTTTTTAACTAGTTAAACTATTGTTTGGTTTTAAGATGACTCCAATGGGTGTTTTTGACTTAACATTTAGAGATTGTCTCAGGGCAGTGGTTTCAGGATTGTATCCATCCTCCATGGCTCCAGAAAGTCTGGAATCCATGGGAATTTGAAATTCTGTTCTGAAGCCAGCATCATCTTAATGCTAATACCTCATAGACAAACCTCACTTGGAAGTACAGATTCTAATTCTAAGTAAAATATTAGCAAATAGGTTTCATCCATGTGTCAAAAAGAATAATACACTGTAAAAAATAATACATTATAAGCAAATAGCTTTTATTCCAGGAAAGCAATGATGTGTCAGTATCAGATATTTTATCAACATAATTCATTATAGTAACAAATAAAACAGGAAGGGATTATCATGTTCTAGATACTAAATAAGTACTAGAAGTTCCGGGGATGCAGTGGTTAAGTGCTCAGCTGCTAACCAAAAAGTCAGCAATTCAAACCCACCAGCTGCTCCATACAAGAAAAAATGATAAAGATTGATAACCTTGGACAACCTATGGGGCAGTTCTACTCTGTCTTTAGGATTATTATGAATCCCAATCAGCTCCACTGCAGTCAGTATTCTCTTTAACTCGGTACTGCATACAATTCAGTAGGGGCAGGGACGGTTCAGTGGTAGAATTCTCACCTTCCAGGAAGAAGGGCTGGATTTCACTTGTGGCTAAAGCACCTCATGCCAGCCACCACCTGTCTGTCAGTGGAGGTTTGTGTGTTGCTATGATGCTAGCTGGGTTTCAGCAGAGTGCCCTGCTTAATACAAACTAGGCTAAAAGGCCTGATGATATACTTGCAAAAATGTTCATGAAAGCCCCGTGGATCACAATGGTCCCATCTGAGATAAATCATGAGGTGGTGTAGGACCAGGCAGCATTTTGTTCACTTATCCATGGGCTCACCATGAATTGCGGGTATGCCCCAACAGCAAGTAAAAACAACAAAATTCAGCAACCATTCCTAATACAAACCTATAATCCATTGCCCAAAATTCTGAAATACAGAAGTCTCTGAAAAATTTAAATGTGGCTTGAAATTTGACACCAAACTGTATTTTGTGGCAGCTATTTAAACTAGCGTAGTGGTTACGAATCGGGCTGCGAACCTCAAGGTCAGCAGTTCGAAACTACCAGCTGCTCCGCGGGAGAAAGATGAGGCTTTCTGCTCCCGTAAAGATTTACAGCCTCGGAAACCCTGTACAGGGTCGCTATGGGTCGGAACCAACTCGACAGCACTTAACAACAACAACATTTAAATTAATGTAAAAAAATTGCTTAAATACAAAAAGTATTTTTCTTTACAAGTTTAAAGAATTTCATGGAGTCCTGATGTAGCGCTATAGGATATGCACAGGACTGCTTACCTCAAGGTTGGTGGTTCAAGCCCACCAGACGTTCTTCAGAAACCCTAAACAGGGTCACTATGGGTCAGAATTGACTTAAAGGTTCTTAACAATAACAGCAACATACAAGACATATTCAAAAATACTTGTGATTCTCTATCCTATTCAAAACTGTCGTATGTCTTTTCTCAAGATGAGTTTGAAGATGAGTGATCTGAAGTATGTGCTTTAAGTTTTCTGGATGGAATGCATTACTGTGTTTTATATTGAGTCTAAGATATCACTTCCTGGATGACTTACATAAATAGCAGGCATCATTGAAAGGGGAAGAGGCATTCTGCCAATTATACTGTGAGTCACCATCAGTTATAAAACATCCAGATTTCAGAGATGTTAAAATGTGAAAACAGGTGCTTCTTTGAATCAATGAAATATGGTGCATACATCCAAAGAAAGTCGCCATAAGCTGACAACATGGCCTTTCATACAGGATTCAGGTTCCTTCTTCTTTCTGCATAAATTTATGAATCTTGGGGATGGCCAACTGTGAGGTGGGGTTTCTAAGGTCACTACTAGACTTGGTTCTGCCACTACCTAATAGTTTGCTTATGAACAAGTTACTTAACATCTCTAACCTGAATCCTAGAACAACAATGTTGGTGTTAATTGCCATTGAGTTAGTTTCAACTGTTGGTTGTTGTTAGATGCCATCAAGTTGATTCAAACTCACAGCCACCCCATGCACAACAGAATAAAACACTGCCCAGTCCTGCACCATCCTCACAGTTGTTACACTGGAGCCCATTGCTGCTGCCACCATGCCAAACCATCTCATTGGGAGTATTCCTCTTTTTTGCTGACCCTTAACTTTACTAAACTAGATGTCCTTCTTCAAAGACTAGTTGGTCCTAACAACATGTCTGAAGTATGAGAGACAAAGTCTCCTCATCCTGGCTTCTATTGAACATTCTTCCAACACAGATCTGTTTTTTCTACTGGAAGTCCATTGAACTTTTAATATTTTTTGAAATCACCATAATTCAAATGCATTATTTCTTCTACAGTCTTCCTTATTCATTGTCCAACTTTTACATGCATATGAGGCTACTGAAAATATCATGGCTTGGAAAGGCACACCTTAGTCCTTAAACTGACATCTTTGCTCTTGAGCAGCAGATTTACCTAAAGCAATACGCCATTTGATTTCTTGACTGATGCTTCCATTAGTGTTGATCGTGGATGCAAGCAAAATGAAGTCTTTGACAACTTTAATCTTTTCTCCATTTATATGGATGTTGTTTATTGGTCCAGTGGTGAGGATTTTTGTTTCCTTTACATTGAGGTGCAACCCATACTGAAGGCTGTGGTCTTTGGTCTTCCTCAGTAAGTATTTTAAATCCTCTTGCTTTCAGTAAACAAGATTATATTGTCTGTCTATCACAGGTTATTAAAGGCTTTCTCCAATCCTGATGCCACTCTTCTTCATATGATCCAGTTTCTCATTTCTCATGTTATTTGCTCAGCATACAGATTTAATAAGTATGATGAATGAATACAACCTTGGCTCACACTTTTCCTGATTTTAAACCGTTCAGTGTCCCCTTGTTTTATTTAAACAACTGCCTCTTGATCGATGCACAGGCTCCTCATGAGCACAGTTAAGTGTTTGGACTACTCATTCTTCAGAATGTTATCCATAGTTTGTCATGATCCACACAGTTTCTACAAAGCACAGGTAAACATCTTTCTGAAATTCTCTGCATTTAGCCAAGATCTATCTGACATTAGCAATGATATACCTCATTCCACATCCTCATCTGAATCCAGCTTGAACCTCTGGAAGTTCCCTGTCAATGTTCTGTTGCAGCTGCTTTATAATTATCTTTAGCAAACTTCTACTTGCATATGATATTAATGAAACTGCCCAATAATTTCTGCATCCTAGTGGGTCACCTGCCTTTGGAGTGGGCACAAATATGCATCTCTTCCAATCAGTTGGCCAAGTAACTGTCTTCTGAACTTCTTGGCATAAATGAGTGAGTGCATCCAGTGCCACATCAGTTTGTTGAAAGATACTGATCTTTATTCTATCTAGTCGCAGTGTTTTGTTCTTTGCCAATGGCTTCACTGCACCCTTGGACTTCTTCCTTCAGGATCATTGGCTCTGATCATGTGCTATTTATTTATAGAAATGGTTGCACATCAACAGTACAGTGACTCTGCATTCCTTCCATCTTCTTTTGAAAGAACTGATAAAAAAAATTCAACCTCAAATTGCAATATTGAAGGGTTCTATCGACAAAATATTGAATGATGCAGGAAGCATCCAAAGAAGATGGAAGGAGTATACAGAATCACTATACTAAAAAGAATTGGTCAACATTTATCTATTTCAGGTGGTAGCATATAATCAAGATCTAATAGTATTGAAGGTAGTAGTCTAAGCTTTACTGTAGGCATTGATGACAAGGCTCCAGGAATTGACAGAATACCAAATAAGATGCTCTCATTCATCTATACCAAAAAATTTTTAAAACAGCTACCTGATCGACAAACTGGAAGAGATCCATATTTTTAAAAACACATTCTAAATAATGATATTTAGTAAAATGTATAATTAATTGAACATTATCATTAGTATCAAATGTAAGTAAAATTTTGCTTAAGATAGTCCAAACATGGATGCAACAGTACATAAGCAGGGAACTGTCAAAAATCCAAGCTGGATTCATAAGAAGATGTAGAATTAGAGCTATCACTGCTAATTTCAGATGGATCTTGGTTGAAAGCAGAGACTATCAAAAAGATGTTTACCTGTGTTTTACTGACTGTGTGTATCATAACAAATTATAGGTAACATTGTAAAGAATGGGAATTCCAGAACACTTAACTGTGCTCATGTGGTACCTGTTTATAGACCAAGAGGCAGTCATTTGAACAGAACAGGGAATACTATATGGTTTAAAATTAGGAAAGATGTGCCTCAGGGTTGTATTCTTTCACCATATTTATTCAGTTTGTATGTTGAACAAACAATCTGAGGAACTGGACTATAGGAAGAAGAATGCACATCAGGATTGACACAAGGCTAATTAACAACCTAACTTTCCTAAGTGACACTGCCACCAATAAAATTAAGACTAAAACTCCAACCACCGGATACATTGGCCAGGTTCTTTCTAGAACAACACATGCCCTCCCTGCCAAGACCTCTGTCCCTAGCAGACTGGGATGCCTGCCCAGAAATTTCTATCAGTTGTCTAATATCAGATTATCTCTTTTGCCTAAATCTACTTCTTTACTTAGTGGGGCACTTCACCCTGGTCTGGAAGACTTTAACTACATGTTATGACTTTAAGGCCCCACGCTTCCACCACATCTTTTAAATGCCCCTTGAAGGAGGTTGGGAGAGCTCTTCTGTACCAAAGATTTAAAGACCTGCTTGTCTCACATCATCAATCTGCTATTTACTCTTTAACAGGATGGGAGTGGTGAGCAGCAAAAAGCAGGTCAAGGAGAAGACTAAGGACTCATGGAGCCCTATGAAAGACAGCACCCAGAGCAAGGTTCCTCCACCTCTACCACCCCTGGTAAGTGATGGGCCCCATTCGTAGCAAGAGAGAGAGGGAAGAAAGAGTGCTTGGAGCATGTTTCTTGGGGTCTGCTGCACATCTCCACCCAGCACCATCTCTAGCTAATTCCGGACTCTGATAAATAGGCCTTCCTCCCACTCGTACCCCTACACACGTCAGTGTGGCCATGTAGTAGAATGTTTAGCAGCATGGACTCTGGAGCCAGATGGCCTGACTTTCTATCCGCTGTGTGTTTTGAAGCACATCACTTAACTTCTTTTTGCCTCAGTTTCTGAATCTGTAAAATGGGTATGAAAAAGTGCCTTCCTGGTTGTTGTTGTTGTTGCGAAGTGCTATTAAGTCAGTTCCGACTCATAGCAACCCTTTATAGGGCTTCTGAAGAACAGCTGGTGGGTTTGAACTGACAACCTTGGTTCACAGTCTAGTGCTGACTCTGTTGTTAAGTGCTGTAAAGTTGATTCTCACTCATAGCAACCCTATATAGGGTTTCCAAGGAATGGCTGGTGAGCTTGAACTAACGACCTTGCAGTTCAAACCAACTTTGCAGTCCAGCGCATTAACGCAACAGCGCCACACCAGGATTCCTAGGAATGTAATAATATGCAACAAGTGTGTATATTTCATATTTATATTTTAACACAGAATCAAGCACATGATTCCAAAAAATCCAAATACACTGCCATCGAGTCTATTCCAACGCATAGTGACTTTCTGTAATGTTTCCAAGACTGGAAATCTTCACAGGAGCAAATAGCCTCATCTTTCTCCTGAGGAGCAGATGGTGGGTTTGAACTGCTGACCTTGTAGTTAGCAGTCTAGTGCTTATTCTACAGTGCCACTGGGGCACATTGGTGGCTCCCAATAATTCTTACTTGTTTTCATTTCCCAAGAGCAACCTTGATGGGGGAAAATAAATCAAAATGGTCCATGGTGGAGAAGAGTCTGGAGCATTTAGTAGCATCTTTGGCTGCCACCCCTACTCAGAAACTCCTGGAAAGCACTGTCCCCTGTGTGGCATTGTTGTGGGCATTTCAAAGACCTTCCTCTGTGGGGGATGCAGCATCTGTACTGGAAAGTGTCTCTTTTCACCTCCACAGTAGTTTTCATGGAGCCCCATGGGCATTTTAAACATGAGAACCTTTCCAAAGGAAGAAAATAGTAACATTTCCCTTAGCCAGCTGGAGTTTGGCCCAAACATGGTACTTTTAGGTGGCTGTTCATGTCCTCCACCACCTGCATCCCCAACCTACCCCCTTTTGTTTTGAGGGAGTTGAGAGCTGTGTGTGGCACCCCTGTGGTCTTCACTTTATCCTAACAGACCCCCAGTGTCAGTGGTGATTGGTCATTCCATTTCATAGACAAGCCCAGGTTCAGCAGAGGGCTGAGCATGCAGCAGCATCTTGTTGTTAGATATCATAGAGTCTGTTCTGACTCCTGGCCACACCGTTTGTGCAGAGTAAAACGGCTTCCTAGGGCTTCCAAAGCTGTGGCCTTTCAGAAGCAGATTGCTAAGCCTGTCTTCTGAAACACCTCCAGGTGGGTTTGAAGCTCCAGCCTTTGGGCTAGCAGTCCAGGGCTTACCCATCTGTGCCACACAAGGACCCCTATGTAACTAGATGTATGCTAATGAATGAATGATCAAGTAAAGAAAACTCAGGCATACACAGATTAATTTACCAAAGTTATAAACTAGTAAGTAGTAGAACATGGATACTTTTTTCTTTTTTTGTTTAACTTTACAAAAGTTACATAATGTATTGTTGTTATGTGCTATCAAGTTGGTTCCAACACATAGCAACCCTGTATAGGGTTTCCAAGGAGCAGCTGGTGAGCTTGAATTTCCAACCTTGCAGTTCAAATCAACTTTGCAGTCCAGCGTATTAACCCACAGTGTCACACCAGAACTCCGCATAATGTATGTTGCTGTTGTTATGTGCCGTGGAGTCGGTTCCGACTCATAGCGACCCCGTACAGGGTTTCCAAAGCTGTAAATCTTTATGGGAGCAGAAAGCCTCATCTTTCTCCCGTGGAACAGCTGGTAGTTTCGAACTGCTGACCTTGCGGCTTGCAGCCCGATTCGTAACCACTACGCTACCAGAGCTCCTCCTGCATAATGTATAGTAAGAAAAAAATGATAAATACTCATTATCCCCACTACTCAGAGATAGCCAGACTTAGTCCTTCAGAGTTCTGGCTTCTGACCCTTTCTTGTTGCATTATTTGTATTATGTTTTTCTAATTTTAATAGAATCATACCATTTTGAAAAATGCTACTTCAAAATTGTGTTCAATGGAATGCAAACATGTCATTAAGTTGAGAGACTAAGAATATAATGAATACCCGTGCCATCAGAAAAAAATTGAAAGCGGCTGTTGTGTTGTTGTTGTTGTTGTTAAGTGCCTTAGAGTCAGTTCCAACTCATAGTGACCCTGTACAGGATTTCTGAGAGTGGCTGGTGAGTTTGAACTGCCAGCTTCATGGTTAACACTCCAGTGCTTATCCTACAATGCCACAACAGGGCTCAGAAAGCAACTAGTTCTTTGAAATGCTCTGCTCTCTGCCCCACCATTCCCTTCCAAGCCCCACCATTGAAATGTACTTATCATCCCTTAGCTTGACTTTTTTATTTTATATCACGTATGTACATGTTCCTAAACAATATTTAATCTAATCCTATGTATTTTGAACTTTAATTTACTCAGACAGTGTGTGTTCTTCTGAGACTCGATTTTTGGCTCAACATTATGTTTCTGAGATTTATCTGTACTGATGCATGTAGCTATAGTTCATTCATATCCATAGTTTCATAGTATTTCATTGAGTGACCAATGTCTAGTCTCCTGACACTGTTCACAGGGATTGTTTCCATTTTTAAAATTTTATGTGTTATGAAAGTAAGGAGTGTTCTTGTATATATCTCCTAGTTCATACATGCAGCAGTTTCTCTATAGGATATATATCTAGGAAGATTGTTTGTTGAGTTTTATGGGAAAAAATATTTAGAAGCTTTTTCCATATCAACAAATGCCATTTTGCAACTTTCTCTTTTGGAGGTAGATCCAGATCTTATCTGATATGCTTGGCTTTCCTCCCCATTCCACAGCTGTCTTAATCAAACCACTTCAGGCACTCTTGCAAGTGGCATATGTTCTTCTTACAACCATGCTTATGGTCAGTGCAGAGATGGTGGATGGTGAGGGTGGCACTGAGACCCTGGGGGAGTTACTGCAGTATCTGCAGAATCTTACTGTGCAATTCTAAATGCAGATGCTATGGTTGGACAGAGCAGATTCCCACTGGAAATCTAGCTGACATGCTCAACAGGTTCATTTTACTTGGCCTTGCCCAGTATGAAGGGTGTTGAACTAATATAGAGTGTGTGTGTTTCTATTCAAGCTTGTGTTTAATCATCTGGCTCCTCTGCCTCCGGACAAGCACCCGGAACAAGGTAAGAAGTTGGGAAGCCCTGTTTTGTGGAGTGAGAACACAGAGAATCGGGAGCAGTTTTCCTGATAAACAAGGCATGGACCCTCCAGGGTCAGAAAAGTGAAGACTGGGTGGGGGTAGACTAGGAAAAGAAACAGTAGGTGAGCTCTGTGCCTGGTTCCATCTGCTCTTTGGAGTCCTCCTGGAACCAAATACAATTTCCTTTAGTATGACTAACTTAGATTAAAATATATATAGTGATGCCTGAGATGGAGGCAGAGATGATGACGTGGAGAGATGGAGCAGCTGGGGACTTTAGATGACGGGGGGAGGGGAGGAGGGGGGCAGGCTTGTAGCATATACCCTTTGGTTGGTTGATGAGGCATGGAGGGGATTGTAATCATGGCAATGAAACGATATATAATAGAATTAATGTAAAACTAATGTTCTCCCATGTAAAGTATCCCATAATTCACAATAAAACATTAAAAAAAAAAAAAAAGCTGTAAACTTTAAAAAATAAATAAATAATGCTCTGTAACTGTAAAAAAAGAACAAAAAGTAAAAAGTTATGGAAATACAAACATCATCATGAAACCCAAGCTTTAAATGATTCTCTGCTTAAGGCCTGACTCTACTTAACTACCAATCTCAAAAGACTAGCACCAACTGCTGTGTTCTTACCTCCCAGACTTGGGTCTGTTCTATGTGGAAGGTGCTATCTTGTTTCCCAACACTTTCCCACTCCACGTACAAACGGCCACCTGCCAACCCTTTAACCACCCACACTGCCCTCCCATCAACCCCAGTCTCCTCTTCTAATCTGATATTGACCCAATGAATCACCTCACTTTATCAGACCTCAGATGAGACTCAGCCCACTCAAATGCCCCTCACATTGTGGTGGCCTTGCTCAACATTGACTTAAAGGACATCAAGATCCAAACCTTGTAATTCCCTAGCATCCTCATAGCCCAGCTTCTATACATAGCAACATTGCCAGCCAGGACCCCATTCATTAATTCACTCCCACAGCATGTTCAGTGGAACACTATTACAGGCCTGACTCTGATGAAGGCTTGAGGAAGATGCAAAAGTGAATAAGATATGGCTCCTCCCCTAAAAGAGCTGAGAGTCTGGGAAACTCATGAGCAACAAGTTGTAGCCCAGTTAGAGACCTCTGTGGTTCTCCTTATCTGCTGGAGATGACCAATAACTTCTATCAGGGGTGATCCTTCCCTTCCTTGTTCACATCACCAGAAAAGAAACCCAAGGCAAGGACAAAAATTAGTTTCATTTGAAACAAAAACTTGAATTATAGAACCAGAGGGACCACTGGCATCTATCACAACCCCCTTTTTCACATAGAGATGATGTGACTTGCCCAGGGTCTCCCATCCCAGGGAAGTTAAGCAGTGTCCGGGTAACCTTGTCTAGAGACAAGGTTCTTTGGGTACCCAGAGCTGTGCAGAAGAGCTCTCTTCATTACCAGTGGTAATTTGAAAGACAGGATGCCACCAAACTCTGAGCCCTCATATACCTCTCCCAGGCCACCATCAACAAGTCAGAGGACCAGACAGGCTGCTAGCTAAAAGCACTCTAATAGGAACTCCATGCACCAACTGCATGGAAAGGCTAGGACTAATGCTGTCAGATTCCAAGACTATCGTCATTTAGGGTTTGGGATAGAGGGAGCTTGGACAGGTATGGAAGGAAAGGAAAAGGGAAGCTCAGAAGCAGGGTGAAAGCAAAGGATTAAATGAGAAATGGTCAACACTGGTTCCCAAACTTGAGTCTGCAGCCATCAGAGTCCTAGCAACAACTGAGTTATGATCTTCTGACTATCAATTCTTTTACACAACAGTTCTGTCTAAGACTCAGGGTTTCTAAGTGTGGTCCAGAAGGTGTTTACTGAGGGGCAGAAGCAAGGTCAAAAGGTCAGTGTGCTTTGACATGTTTCCTCCTTAGCAAGGATGAGTGAGAAAATTCACTAAGGTGCCTTCTCTAGACTGGCTTGTTCCTAACTCTCCTAGTAGCCAGAAGATGACTCATAAAACCAAAACATCCCAGTCCCTGCCATGACTGCAGTAGGCCCCAGTGGTGGCCATCTTTTTCTTGTGCATTCTAGAGGATCATTTTGTGGTGGCTCAGTATGATTACAACACAGTGAATGACTGGGACCTGCAGATGCTGAAGGGAGAGAAGCTGCAGATCTTGAAAGCGTAAGTTTTCAGAATATTGCCCCTCGATCATAAGGCTCAGTAATTGTCTATCACAGTGGACTTCCACTTGTCCAGCCACCTCACCTCAACTTCCCCCACCTCCTTGGCTGACGCCAGAACAGCTAGCTTCATTGTCCTGCTCCCCAGCCCAATCGGTCAGCATTGTCTTCAACATGACCTAATTATCTGCCTTACATGTATCGTTCCAAAGTCTTTTGGTGAGGTAATATCCATTTACTACCTCCTACTCTGTTGTTAAAATCCTAAGTTCATCCTTCAAAACCCACTGCACACATCACCTCCTCCATGCAGCCCTCCTAACTCCCTCAGGTAGTATGAACCTCTCCCACTATCTGTTCCCACAGCACTTGCTTGCTGTTCCATTAGACTCTTCCATTTGAATCAGTTGCGTTCATATTTATATCTCTCACTGGGCAGAAATCTCACATAGGACACCATGTGTGAAACAAACTTTCCAGAAATACCACCAAAGTCTTGGAACACTGAGGGCTTGATTTAGTTTTTGAAACCCTGCAGTGGCCTTAGGCCAAGAGCATTAAAAACCCTGACCTTTAGACTACACATGGGCTGTCCAGTCCCTCCTGTTTTTGTCTTTCCCAGGCCTCCTAACACACTCACTAAATTCTAGGCTGTCTCTGCAATTCTGTCCCATTTATCAAGAGGAAGGCCTACTCATTAGAATACAGGGGCCTCTTGAGTTTATTAGATTGTTTGGATGAACTCTTCCCCCTGGAGACTGCATCATCCCCATTCCTGACCTGGACCAGGAATACCGCCAGCCTGTGGATGCTCAAAAAAAATAGAAATAACCCAGATACCCCTGCATCACTGAGCAACTTCCCCAGGTTACTTCTCATCTGCAGACTCTTTTCATGCATTCTCTGCCTCCCACAGATGAGATCATACTGTGAAGGGCTGTGAGAGGTCCCAGGGAAAGGCCCAGCTGAACCATTATCTTATTTTTGTTTTTCCCCCTTCTCTCCTTTAGAACTGGAGACTGGTGGTTGGCCAAATCACTCGTCACTGGAAGAGAAGGCTATGTGCCCAGCAACTTTGTTGCCGAAGTAGAGACGCTGGAAGTGGAAAAGTAGGTTGACAAGCTCAAGGGTACCTCTAATCAGAAACAGCAATCACTTTTCTACTGTGAAGGCTACTTTAAGGGGTGGAATCCAAAGTGGGCTAAAAAATGAACTCTTGAGAACTCAGGAGGGAGGGAGCAGAATAGAGGCAGGAGACTGAAGCTATAGAGAAATGATTGCTTATTGGTCCCAGAGAATGCCCCTCCTGTCTCTGAATCACTGTGTGATTTGAAGGAGTCCTTTCCTTCAAATCCACCCCACCCTTCTCTTCCATAAAAATGACAGCATCCCTTCCCTGGTATAACAAATGACCATTAAGTTGCTTCTGACGCATGGCGACTCCATATGTATCAGAGCAGAACTGTGCTCAAGGGTTTTCAATGACTGAGTCTTCAAACACAGGTCATCAGGACTTTCTTTTAAAATACCTCTGGGTGCACTGGAACCTCCAACCTTATGGTTTGTTGTTGTTACTAAGTGCTGTCGAGTGAATTCTGATGAGCAGCTAGTGGGTTTAAACCAATGACCTTGCAGTCAGCAGTCAAGTGCTTATCCTACAGTGTCACACCAGGACTCCAACCTTATCATTAGCAGCTGAGCATGTGAGTTGTTTGCATCACCCAGTAACTCTTCCCCAGTGTCAGGATGGCTTGAGAGCCTACAATGGGTGGTATGATAAGCCAACACTCTCCAGAGGCTTCCAGTGATGGCTGCGGTGTGGAGTCTTCCCTAGCACAGTGTGAGGAATGTTCCAGCAGTTCCACACTGAAGAATCAATCACATGTAGTGTGGGTATCCTAAGTAGGAAGCATGGTGGGAATCCCTGTTCTGAGAGTCTCTGGTTGTCTATTTCAGACACTCAGATCCAAGGAGGTGACAATGAGTACTTTGTGGGGAAGGTGGCCTGGTGCAAAACAAAATTAACAAAGGTTAATAATGAATCCCAATAATGTTCTCATTTTCTTTAAAGAAAACAGTACATCCACATGCTGATGGGAAAAGGGAAGTGGGTACAGAGACCGCAGGGGCATGCAACTTACTAAGATGTGAGGAACAACAACTCAGAGTTAACTTATATATTTAACTTCTAGTGGGGGGAGGTACAGTTTAGGAGGGAGATTTGGATATGAATATTCCATGAACCCACTATTTGTCTACTTTTTCCCTTTTCCAGGTGGTTTTTTCGATCAATTAACCGGAAGGATGCTGAGAGGCAGCTTCTGGCTCCAATCAATAAGGTTGGCTCATTCCTTATTAGAGAAAGTGAAACAAATAAAGGTAAGTATGGGAGCCCCTCCCCCTTCGCTGTTACCCCCTAGGAAGCCCTCACCAGAGGCCTTGCTTCTGGTGACTCCAGCCCAGAGAACTCAGCAGCTTCAGGGCCCCAACTCTCCCTCTCAACTTAAGTCCTGCCTGGACACCCCAGTTATGCCCAGGTGTGGATTTAGAGGCTGTATCACCCTTCTTGGTTGTCCTAAGAGAATGGTGCTCCCAGTCATCCAGGCTGGACGTTTCCTGGGGCAGGAAAGGTGGTGCCAGCACAGCTCCCACAACCAGGCTAAGCACCTATGGGTTGCCATGCACCCCTCAAGGTCAGAGTGGCGTGGCTGGTCATGCATCATCCCTGGGTCTGCAAAGTCGCTGAAGCTGGTGGGCAGTGGCTGGTGCAGCCCAGAGGCCCTCAATCACCAGCCTTATTTTAGAACCAAAGGACTTCAGAACTGAAAGAATCATGAGAGATTATCCCAGACAGAGCCTGAGACCTCAGAAGTTTAGAGGAGCCTGGGAGTTGACATAAAATTGGGATGTGGTTTGCAGTTGGATTCTTTTTAAAAAGGGGATGTGTATCCGTTGTGGAAATCAAGTAGTTTATAGGGGTTAGATGTGGCAGTCTGCTCCCATAAGATTTGTAGACTTGGAAACCTTATGGGAAATGTCTACTTTGTCAAGAGGGTCACTCTGAGTCCTCAATCTACTCAACAGGTATTCGTGGAGAACTGAAAAGTCCATACCCAATCTTAAAGCACTCACAAATATTTCTGTATCAGCCCTCAGGCCACAAGTTTTGTTTTCTCTCTCTTTTTTGATTTAGCTTTATTTCCTCCTTCTTTTTTTTTTTTTATTTTAAAGGTTTTTTTATTGTGGATTGAGTAAAAGTTTACAGGGCAGATCATCAGTTTTACATTCAACAAATCATACACCTTTTTTCAATGCAATGATTATAATCCCCTCCATGTACCATCAGTTAACAGTATTTATCGCTATTCACTTTAGCTCTTTTTTTTTTTTTAAACACTCAGGCATATATAATAATTTACACAACCAAAGGGCACATTCTGCAAGCCAGCCTCTTGACCACCAGCTCTTAGTCCCTCTCTTTCCATGAATCTTGAGTCCTCGGCTGCTCCCTCTCTCCATGTCCTCATCTCTGCCTCCTTCTCTACTGCTTCTCTGGATAAGGTCCCACATTCTGCTTGTACTGTTCTCCTCCCCAGTTTTTGTTAACAAAACTTCTAACTTTACAATTGTGACAGTCGCAATTAGTCATGATAATAATTAGTCACTATTCAACCAAAAATCTTATCCCCATTCTTTTAATCAGACCCATCTAGACAAGATGAAAACTATTCAGTGAGGACTCTTTCTTCCCACACACTATTAAACTAAACTACCCCTTGAAACCTTGTAAGCCAGTCACTTCATGCCTTTATCAATCCCCTCACTTTAGGTAGCCAATGCCTAAGTTGCCTATTCCTATCTACCCTTCATACAGAGGGGATAGCATTGATACTTGATGTAAAGACTGTTGGTATTTACAGTTACTACCTCCATGAGTGTAGGTCAAGTAGCTTTCTTTCCTTCTTAATGTTCATCTTGTTGTAAAATTTAAAATGCATATGAAAGTTATATAAGCTATAAATAAGTGTATAATTATAAATTAAAAGTAAAATGTGTTAAGTAACCAACCACAACCTACACCAAGAAATAGAACATTCTCGTCTTCTAGAAAGCCTCTCTCCACTATTCCATTGTGTTCCCTTTCCTGATTCAACCTCCCATCTCCACCAACATAACCACTATCCTGAATTTTTTTAAGTCCTTACTTACTTTCTTCCTTGCTTTTCTGTCTTTCAACTTCATGCAAATGGAGTCTCAGTGTTTTGATTCTGTGGGTGTGTTTTCTTTCAGTCAGCATTGTGACAGTTCTATATTGTTGAGCATGTTAACCGTCTGTCCACTTTCCTTACAATAAAGAATCCAGTGTGCAAATATTTCATCATTTATGTATCCATTCTGTTGACAGACCTTGTATTATTTTGCCATTACATGAAACTTATTATATATGCATCATGATGCCTATTGCCACTAGATTTGGGGCTCTAAGATACTAGGCCAACACCCCCCTGTGAATGAGCAGAAAACTGAGAACCCAGAAAGAGGAAATAACTCACCCAAGGCCAACAATGACTAAACAGCAGTGCTCAAAGTATCAGTGATCCATACATACAACAGACTCAGAATCCCCACAAGCTCTAAAATGTGTCACATTAGCCTCACCTGGGATAACCAAGGGGAAATTCCCAAGTAGGTTGAAGGAAGCTTTTACTCTTCAGGGAGTTAGTTGCACATAGGGTGTGCTACATCTTCATGACCAAGGAACTGGTGGCTGTGACATTGGAAGAGGATGGAAGAGAGGGTGGGTGGACAGTGAGTCTGGTTCCCTGTGCTTGGAGCAATGAGAATGGGTAGCGCTTTTGCATCGTCAGAATAGACCATCAGTCTGTCCCTCAGCTTCACTCATGAATCTACAACTTCAGTGAGTGGGCAGCACGAAAACAGCAAAAACTGAGATGAAGACAACTACTTATAACCTTCTGAGACACTCTGGGGAGATAGCTCAGTGTTGTTACCTCTAAAGGGCCAGGTTGGGAAGGAAGGGGTACATTAGGAAGTTGTAGAATTTCCTGAATTGTATCAGTGGAAATCATCAGATGGAGCCAGAGCTGCAGGAGTGCCCAGGAGTCATTATTCCTCATGCACACAAACATATGCACAGACACACACATATGCACATACCTCAGAACTCCAAAACCAGATCTCTTAGTGTGAATCTCCACATCACAGCCAGCATCAGATACAAGAGAGGGTCAGGAAACAACACAATAAGGGGAAGGAATGCTGCCCTAACAAGCAGGGGTAGGATTTCTAGTCCTATGTGGCCTCCAGGCAGTCCTTCAGCTTCAGTTTATTGGTATTTATATAGTAAGAAAGCCAAAGGTCATTTAAAAGGCAGGAAAGACAAAGAAGACCAAAATGGAGGTCTGAAGAGACTTTGAAACTTGCTTTTGAATATAGAGGAGCTAAAGTGGATGGAAGAAATGATGAGAAGAGCTTGAACGAAGATTGTAAAGAGCAGCTTGAGAAGCTAAAGTATTAAAAAGAAAAGTACAAAGACCTGAGGTTAGAAAACAAAACGGGAAGAACACACTCAGCATTTGGCAAGCCGAAAGAATTACAGAAAAGTGCAAGTCTCAAGTTTCAATATTGAAGGATTCTATTGGGCAAAATCCACTGGACTGTGAACCACAAGGTCAGTGGTTCAAGTCCACCAGTCACTCCATAGGAGAAAGATGAGATATTCTGCTCCCACAGAGATTTACAGCCTTGGAAACCCTATACAGGGTCGCTATGAGTTGGAACTGACTCGACAGCACTTAACAACAGTAACAACATGGACAGAATCTACCACTTGTCTGTCAGTTTGTCTTACTGTGGTGACTTGCATGTTGCTGTGATGCTGAAAGCTATGCATTAGTATTTTAAACACCAACATGGTCACCCATGGTAGACACATTTTAGTAGCGTTTCCAAGAAGAAAGGGGGCCAGAAAGCTTCTGAAAGGTAAGCAACACCTTATGAATAGCAGTGGAACACTGTCAGATAATAGCACCAGAAGATGAACTCCTCAGATTAGAAGGTACTCAAAATACTCCTAGGGAAGAGCTGCCTCCTCCATGACATGCATGGAGCAGAGCTTTCATTTACTGATGGGGAACAACTCAAAATGAGAAGAAGTAGCTGCAAACATTCATTAGTAATCAGAAAATGTGTAAAGTATGAATCTGGGGAAATTATAAGTCATCAGTAATGAAATGGAGCACATAACGATTGATATCCTAGGCATTAATGAGCTGAAATTGACTGATGTTTACCATTTTGAATTAGACAGTCATGGTTTGGTATGCAGAGATGGAATTGCATTGCATTCATTGTCAAAAGGAGCATTTCTAGGTCTATCTTGAAGTACAGTACTGTGATAATATTTATATGACTACAAGGAAGACTGGAGTCCTGGTGAGGCACTGTAGGATAAGCACTGGACTGCTAACCACAGGGTGGCAGTTCAACCTCATCAGCTGCTCCCTGAGAACCCTACAGTATCACTGTGAATCAAAATTGACTCAACAGTACTTAATAACAACAAAAAGGAAGAGTAATTAATACCACTATTATTCAAATTTCACACCCACTACTAAAGCCAGTGGTGATGAAATCGAAGCATTCTACTAACTTCTTCAGTCTAATCTTAATCAAACATTCAATCAAGATGCATTAATAATTACTGGTGATTGTAATAAAAAAAAAAAAAGTTGGAAACAAGGAGGAAGGATCAGTAGTTGGAAAATGTGGCCTTGGTTATACAAAGGATGCTGGAGATCACATGAGGGAATTTTGCAAGACAATTGACTTATTAATTTCAAATACCTTTTTTCAACAACATAGAAGATGGCTATACACCTGGACTTCTCCAGATGGAATACACTGGAATCAAATTGACTACATCTGACGGAGAAGTTCAATATCATCAGCCAAAACAAGATCATGAATTGTTTACATACAAGTTCAAGCTGAAGCTGAAGAAAATTAAAACGAGTCCACAAGAGCCAAATATGACCTTGAATATATCCTACCTAAAATTAGAGACCAAATCAACGACAGGTTTAATGCATTAGATACTGATGACCTAAAACTAGAAGCAATGTGAGATGACATCAAGAAGATTATCCATAAAGAGCACAAAAGGTCATTAAAAGTGAAAGAAGAAAAAGACCAAAACCAATGTCAGCAACTCTGAAACTTGCTCTTGAATGTCGAGAAGCAAAAGCAACTGGAAGAAATGAGGAAGTAACAGAGCTGAACAGAACATTTCAAAGGGCAGCTAAAGAAGACCAAGTTAAGTATCATAATGAAATGTGCAAGGACCTGGTGTTAGAAAA